ACAACGTTCCCCTAAATTTTCAGCTTCCTAGCTTTTGTGGTTCCCGAGTTGAAAGTTGCGGACAAGCTGCTGCGGACACACACACACACAAACACACACACAGACAACCCCGTAACAATATGCGTTTTGTACTGCTGTTACACAATACAAAACGTATAATAAGGAACATTTCTGCTTTTATTCAGCACATAGGATTATTAATGACTTCTATCGGAGTAGGCATTTTCAACTACGAACACAGAGTTCTGCGTTCGTAGTTGAAAGTGCTTGGAGGAAATCAGCTTATGGAGAGCTTTATTTGATCTTTTTGTGCTGGTGGTGTCCAATTTTACCTTTTGTGATTTTTATGTCAAAGCTTGTCATTCCAGGAATTATTGCCATAATGCTCATCCTGTTCAGTTTAGCCTTTCATTCCCAATAAGTGTGCATCCCACAAATGTCGAGGAAGGCATATTCGCTAATAATATAGAAACTTCAACATATATATATATATATATATATATATATACGTACTGGAGCCATGTTGTATATATAATGTATACAGTACATATACGGAAGAGATATTGCCGTTAAGCTGTTGACATCGTATACAGATGACGCAGTAGAACTTATATAATATGCACACTGTATATCCACAGAACCAAGAAAACATCAGTTATCGCGATTTTTGTTGTGTAATGCACCTATGTTGCTTGTATATAATACACAGCGCACTCACTGAGGATATAATGGCGCTATGTTGTTGGTAGGTTGTAAAGATCGAAATACAGAGTATAACATCTGTACATGTAATGGACTACAACCATTTGGTGGAGCGGATCATCCGGTGTAGTGCATCTATGTTATATCTATAATATATATGAATAATATACCGTATGGGTGCCTCGCGTTCTGTGTCTCTGTTGATTGTTCATTCGTGCAAGGATTTAAGGCGTTAGAACCACTATGGAAGGTCGCTGTTCATTTCTTAATGCATGCATGGTGACAAAAAGCAACAAGGTTGTGTTTCGCCTGCTAACGGCTTAGGGTGTATTTCCCATTTTTCAGCGCTTCTTATGTGTTTGTGATTGCATCTTAGTCTGATATCCAACACAATACCTTTGATTGCCATTTTCTAGCTACTGTGCTGTCAGTCACGCTCTAAATATTTATGTTTGAAGGTACGTATGAAGTAGTGCTTTCAGAAAAATGGACAAAATACTTCTTGCACTTGTTAGAGTACGAAATAAGGTGCTTTTGAGTGAAAAGTTAGACATTCGGCGTGGATATCCCACTGTAGCATTGCCCAAGAGGGCTTCCTTACAGCAGCGAAATGCGCAGTTTGATTCAGCCCCAAGCAGCAGCAACGGAACTAACAGTAATATTGGAAGCATGGGCACCAGTACGGAAAGTATTCCTGTGCAAAACTGCAGCGTGGCAGGTAACACTGGAAAATCCAATTATTAACTACATATGCAATTTTCTAAACAACTACTCACCACCTTCCTTCGCAGATGATGAAGTGTTGTCGATCACTGCGCTGGATTTCGTATTGAGGAGTGCGTCTGCTCGTGAGAGGGAGCAGCAGCTGCACCGGGCTGAAGCCATCGGCGCAAAAGTTTCCACACTAAGTACTGTGGAAAAATACATGGAAGAATGGAACGCCCCTTCCTGTCATGGAACGCTGCGGAACAGTTTGTCAGCGTGTGAGACAGCTGACTGCAGTCTATACAGGTTTCAATTTAAACCCTTAAAGAAAACTTGTTGTGCGAGGTTCATGGTGAAATTGCCTCCGATATCTTGCCTTGGAACATTTCAGATCTACTGATTTTTGTTTGCAGAATGCAAGCTAGGCCAGTGCCTTGTACATTAAGGACAATGGACTTTGTGCAGCAACTGAAGCACATCGCGACGAACAATATCAGGGAAATATTTAACGTAAGTTTTCTAATCAAATGCAATACTGAAACTGCTTGCGCCTTCTGGCAGCTTGATATTTTAGATGCAACGAAGTGGTCGGTAATTGGCAAACGATTTCCCTCACAACTTTCTTGCCGATCGAAATGCTTTCCCATGTTACTAGTACGGTTTAAAAACAGAGCAAGATGAGGCCAGCCGAGTGCTAACAGTTCGTCTTATATTTAACTGCGACGGACTTCCCACACCACACACAAAGTAAACTTTTCATAAGAAATATGACTGTACTATTTTGGCTCACAACTTTGGCCGAATTCTTTTCAGAGCAAAAGTTTGGCCAATTTCCTACGAAATCCACGATTTACCTTGCGCATATCAGAACTTCGTATCGAAATATGATTCTTGCGGGAACCATCAGTTGTCGTACGTTTTTTGTCTTAAAAAAGCAGATTTGTTTGGTACGGATTTGTAACTGGCCACTGTGATTTTCCATGTTGGGAGAGCGCGAATTCTTCCTTCAGCTATTATGGTTTTTATGCAGAAAAAACACCGCATCAGGGAGATTTTGCAATTTTTCTGGCATGCATTAAGAAATCGCTAGAAATGTGTGCGGAGGGATTCGCAATAAATGTGGACGGCAAGCAGTGGTGCTACGAACGGTGTTTGAAGGTGCTATTGTTGATTTCGAGGTAACCGCGTCTGCGGTCTTCGTTTTAACACCACTGGAATTATTAAGTTGTACTGCACCTACGCACAGTCACTCATATCTACAACGGGTATGCCACTAGCTTGCACTACGCCTAATTTAGGCTTTACGAAATCTGTTCCAAATGGCGGGTTGGTCCGGTTACTACGGTTGCCCAAAATGTTATGCTCGTGGTGGCGGTCCTGTACAGTGGACAACAAAATCGCCTGATAGTAAACCGCGGGATGAGACGCAGATCGCAGATGAAGCACGTAATGCCGACATGGGATTTCGAGGTTACAATTCCTTTCATTTCAGTCTTCAAAACCCACTGCAAAAACTTTATAGCATCCGCGAAACAGATGATTTACAGGTTACTCTCCACTGCTGCAGCTGTTTTTACCTACTCGATGCCACATTTTTACGTACTTTGCATGTGTGCTCTGAAGGAGTGTTCAAGCACTTGCTGACATGTACGCTAGCGGCAGTACTTTGTTTGACTCATATCTAGAACAAGGTTTCTGGTGATTGCATGCACGATGTATGTGTTTTGTAGATGTATTTGGCGCACGATGCCGTTCACCTCGTATCAAATGTCACCCTGCTGACGTTAGAACTGTTATGCAGGGCTGTACATCTGCTAAGTTCCCGTGCTATTCCATACACAGAACACGACCAATTACGGAATTCAAGAGATTTACCGGCCAAGACTTCACCAACGTATATTTCCTTCGTTTGTCCTGCTGTTTTGCCCGAGAGCTAATCCCTAAGTTCAACTGGAATGTTTTGTTGTTTCTGTTGTTTTATCTCTTCCCCGCATTTCTGGAGCAACGGCAACTTAGTGATGCTTACCTGTCTTT